AACGTATGAAGGAGGTCACTCACCAAATCCCCAGACTTTATGGACCTGTACTTCAGTTGTGACTTACACTAAGCAACAGGACTTCAACCTCAGAAAAGGAAAGAGCTGGTGTGGTACCAAAGAGTAAACAAATGCAAGAGTATGTGATACTTTTTATTGGACCATTAAAAATAAAACAAATAGCAAGCTTTCGACCTGTGCCCCATCTGGAACACTTGTGCATCTCACCTGTGAAACATGAACCATTTTTTGAGAACCACTGCACCAAGCAACATGCCTAGAACATTTTTAAAAGTGATGCTCTCTCAAGGGGCAAAACACAACCATGTGTCATGAGATTTTTCTCACCCCAGAATCTTGCCTTTTTTGTGACTGCTCGCTGGAAAGTAAACATTGCCTTACTCCAAGTATCTCAGAGGAAATACATGAGCAGGGAGGAAAACTGGTTAATAGGAGGGAGTATGCATTTTCCTTAGTTTAATCCTGAGGCTTACTTATAACAGGAGTTATACAAGGCCAGCATAGCCCACTTGACTCTGCAATTCATCTGATCCAGTTAGGCAGGCAAAGCACAATCTCTCTTCCACTAAAGTGCCTAGGCTTGTCCTGCTCTATTTAACAAAAATGGGAGTCTTCCATTACTGAAACTCCATGTTAATTCAAGCCTTCACATTAGCAAGCAGGTAATGCAATTTGAGTGGATTTGGGCCTTGGTTTAGCATGTGCTGATGTTGTTTTCCAGTAATTTTTACCAGTGCAATTCAATCCACTTCCAGCAGCATTAGTGACAGCAGACAATGAGGCTGTGAGCTGAAGCAACGGCATCATCACCCAATCATTTCTTGAATTTTCTCAGAATCACAAAGTGTAGAATTGGAAGGAGTCCTAAGGTTCACCCAACACCCTAAAGCAGACAGTCTCTTGTTAAAACCTCCAATGAAGGAGAGTCCACTTCCTTCCAAGGGAGTCTGTTCTACTGTCAAACAACTCTTACTGTAAGGATGTTTTTCTTAATGTTTAGTTGCAATTTTTCTTTCTTTCTTTTGGTAATTTGAATCCATTTCTTCAGTTCATCAAGTGGTAACTACAGAGGCATACCCAAAGCAAGGATGAGATTGTGAAAACTACAAGAGTCTTTTCGCATTTAAATACAGTATTAACAAACGTATTTGTTTTCTGGACTGCAGCCCACTTCATCCAGTTCATGGATACAATACTGTACAGTATTGTGTAACTCTCATGACATAAAGCTAATACAGTAATACATGATCCAGAGTGCCAACACAGACCAGCCTTTAAGCTTCTGTCCGTTTTAAAACCTGTTTACCCCAAAAGAATCAAAAGGAATCCTGTCTTTCGTCGTCATTTAGTCGTGTCCGACTCTACGTGACCCCATGGACCAGAGCACGCCAGGCCCTCCTATCTTCCACTGCCTCCCGGAGTTGTGTCAAATTCATGATGGTTGCTTCGCAGACACTGTCCAGCAATCTCATCCTCTGTTGCCCCCTTCTCCTCTTGCCGTCACACTTTCCTAACATCAAGATCTTTTCCAAGGAGTCTTCTCATGAGATGGCCAAAGTACTGGAGCCTCAGCTTCAGGATCTGTCCTTCCAGTGAGCACTCAGGGTTGATTTCCTTTAGAATTGATAGGTTTGTTCTCTTTGCAGTCAAGGGGACTCTCAAGAGCCTCCTACTAAAACATCATTTTACCCTAAGATCTGTTTGTATCATATCAAAGCAAGCAACAGTATTTTAAAAATAATGTTAGGCTTGCTATCATAACATGCATTACATTCCTGCTGATTTTGGCATTCTGAAAATTCCAGTGTTGAGTCATATAACACATGAAAAATGAATTTCAGACAGATGTTTGCATGCTGTGGTTAGGAGCCTGGAGCTGCAACAGAACAGTCTGAAATTATTCTAACAAGCAGTATGGACTTTTCCCTTTTTCTCTATTGTCAGCAAATAATGTATGATGTGCATCTCTACAACCATAAGCAAAGATGAATTCCAGATTTGTGAACATATTGCAGTACCTGCCTGCCAAATCTTCTTTATTATGTATTATATAATAACAAATAATATTAGAACTGCAGAGCTGGAAGGGATTATCTTTATATGATTCCTCCAAGGATCCTGGGCAACATGATTCCTTTATCCTGCCATCTGATTCTCAACCAGTGATGTATTTTTCTCACAGCTAGTGATTGGTTAGGGATACTCCAATGAGCTTTACAACTGGTTGAGGATCTTATTCAGAAGCTTTCCACTTAGCACTCTCAACCAATGCATGTTCACAGCCTCTTCTGTGAAATGTTCATTTTAAGAAAATAAATTTATCAGAACATTGTTAATTTTACAAGGGTGTAGTAATATTATTCTGGAATTGACAAACTTAAAAGAAACATGACTTGAATATTGATGCAAGATATAGCATAGTTGAGCTATAACATTAACTCTGCCCTAATTATCAGACTTGTTGGAAAACTTCAAAAAAGCCATGTTCCAACTCGTTGTTTAGTCGTGTCCGACTCTTCGTGACCCCATGGACCAGAGCACACCAGGCCCTCCTATCTTCCACTGCCTCCCGGAGTTGGGTCAGATTCATGTCGGTTGCTTCGATGACACTGTCCAACCATCTCATCCTCTGTCATCCCCTTCTCCTCTTGCTTTCACATTTTCCCAGCATCAAGGTCTTTTCCAAGGAGTCTTCTCTTCTCATGAGATGGCCAAAGTACTGGAGTTTCAGCTTCAGGATCTGTCCTTCCAGTGAGCACTCAGGGTTGATTTCCTTTAGAATTGATAGGAAATCAATAGGAAATGCAGGAAAACAAACCTATCAATAGGAAATGGCAATGCCACTCCAGTATCTTTGCCAAGAACGCCCTATGATCAGAAACAAAATGCTAAATGTTCCAACTATGTGTGGTAAAATAAGAAAAAATTGAAAGCTTATGGCTTGTTCTAAGAGAAACATGTGTACTACGATATTTCATTGTCCTGATATGTAACTTATATTCTACAGAAGAAGCTCTGCTGGGGTAGGATATGCAGAAACAGAATGTTTTTGCATAGACAAGGCAAGAGTGTATTCTCTCTCCCTATCTGTTCAATGTATATGCAGAACATACCATATGGAAAAAACTGGATTAGATTCAAATGAAGGAAGAATGAAAACTGCTGGAAGAAACACCAGTAATTTAAGATACACAAATGACTCCAAGTTACTGACAGATATAAATGATGATTTAAAAGGAATAAGGTGAAAGTGCAAAATCAAGATTATTACACAACATTAAGAATAATTACTGTATGTGTCATGAAGTAAATTCTGACTTACGGCAACACTTTCCAGGTTTCCCTTTCTAAGTACAGGGTAGTCAGAAGTGGTTTTCCATTTCCTTCTTCTGTGGGTGCTCTGTAGCTTACCCAAACCCACAGAATGGTTTTCTCCTGGGAGGCACTGTGGGGAATTGAACACCCAACATATGGCTCCACAGCTGGATACCTAACTAAAAATTATGACTACAGAGAAACTACATAATGTAATGCTGATAATGAAGAAAGCAAAATTGTTAAAAAGATTTAGAAATCTGAGTAATCCAAACACTACTTTCTATGGCCAGAAATCTCCCGCAGCAGCAGAAGAAAACCTATGGCTCATAAACCACACCTGTTCCAAATTCCTGGAAGAGGGATCTATCATGTCTGGAAACACAGTCCAGTGGGTAAACAAGTGACAGTGGCAACTCCTTCGGCAGGTGGACAAGCAATGCTGGCAAGGATGTGGTGCCTCCTCCAGACGTTTGGTGGCGGAGTACTCAACTTGGAAGTGCAGGTTTTCACAATGACTATTCTCTTAGCAGGCCCTCACTCCCAACAAGGGGAGCTCACATAAAAAGCTGGATGAGGCCATTTAACAGATCAGAGGCAGATCTTTTGTAAAACTAATAAACTGTCCTTCCCAAACCTAACAACCCTCAAACATACCTTCTCGAAGGCTTTCAGGGCTGGGATCTGATGGTTGTTGTGGGTTTTTTGGGCCATTTGGCCGTGTTCTGGAGGTTTTTTTCCCTAACATTTCGCCAATCTCTGTGGCCAGCATCTTCAGAAGGCAGGAGCTAGAAGACCAGAGCGCAGAGTTCTGACTCCTGTCCTCTGAAGATGCCGGCTACAGAGACTGGAAAAACCTTAGGAAGAAAAACCTCCAGAACATGGCCAAACAGCCCGGGAAAACCCACAACAACCAACCCTCAAACAATTTGCATTGCAACAGAAACAACTTGGAATAATATACTCTTCTTGGAAAATTCCGTATTTTGTTCCCAGCTGCCCCACAGATTGCTGCTAAACTCAGAGAGAGAGGGTGTGTGTGTGTGGGGGGGGCAAATGGATGTCATGGCTCTTGACAAAGCGATGCCCGTACCCCGCGAACAAAGTCTTGTAGGGCAAAAGCCCCACTGCGACAGCGAGTGTCTTGCCTTCGTAATTTCGCCCTTCTAATCGCGTGAGGAAAGCCGGGGGGGGGGATTTGAAAGGCCCAAGCAGTCCGCCCCCCCTCGCTGCCTCTGTTGTCTGAATGGGGCACCAGAGAGCGGGGAAGACCGGCCAGGGGGTTACTTGCCACCTCAACACTTTCCCTCCCTGCCGCTGGGTTGGGACAAACGGGCGCGATGGGGGCCCCCGGACGGCCCCCCAGAAAGAGGGCCGTGCCCCTTTCCTCCACCTCCTCGCCTGCCTAAGAGGGGCGCCCGCACGGTGACCTCTGGAGAGGGTTGAGGGTCGCCTTCAGCCCCCTCGAACCTGGAGCTGCCCCTAACAGCCCCCCCAAAAGTCCCTCAGGGGACCCTCAGGAAGGTGTGCGCTCGCCGTCCCTCCCTCCCTGGCCGGGTTTTATCTCTCCGGGAGCCCGGGCTCGGCAGGAGGAAGGGAAGGGGCCGTTCCTCCTCCACCTCCTCTTCTTCCTCCTCCTCCGGAGGCCAGCGAGTGGCTCGGGAGAGAAGGCGGGGCCGGGCCGGGCCGGGCCGGGTAGGCGGCTGGTAATTTCCCGGCCGCGGAGGAGGCCGGGCGACCAGAGGGGGTCGGCGACGGCGGCGGGTGAGGAGACGCGGGGGGAAAGCGGCCCTTCCAAGCAGCTTGGCTGACGGCGACGCCTCAGGGGGAAGAGGGAGAGACAGAGAAGTCCAAGGCGGACCCCACGACCCGCCGCCCCGCTTTCGTGTCGTCGCTATGGAGGTCGAGGGGCCGCAGGTGAGAGCGAGGGGCCGCCAGGTGGAAAGGGAAGGGAGGCCCCCCTCCCCCCTCCCCCTCGAGGCTTCGGGAGAGGCCCCATTGGAGGGCAGGCCTCTCTCTTGCTCTGCGCTTCTCTTTTCGGGTCACTTGGGAGGGAAGGAGGGGCCGAGCGGGCGGGAGGCTGCGTTTCCCTCTATTGCGGGGGCGGCGCTTTCCCGTTGGCCTCGTTCTGGTCTAGCTCCGCCCAGCCCGCCGTGACGTCAGTGTCACCGCTAAGGCGCTGCTGACTCACGGGCTTGGGGGAGGGCGGGGATGGCAGAAGGGCGGAGGGAGGGGGCTTTCGCCTGGGATCGAGGAAAATGGGAGGGATCTTGAGCTCCCACTTCGGCTGGGGGAAGAAGTGCCTCTGAGCGTGTGCAGAAGGACGCGGCTCTTTTCCCCCCCTCCTCTAATAGTCCCCGTCTGCCTGCCTCGGGGATTGGGCGTTAAATGACAGGGATCCCGAATGCCTTCTTAAAAGGCTTTCAGCATGGCTTGAATTCATCATCCTCTTAGAAATGCAAGGGTGGAAGGGGGGAGGATCCTGTGGATCATGGAATCCAGCCCCTCTGCAAGGGTGGAAGGGGGGAGGACCCTGTGGATCATGGGATCCAGCCCCTTATCAAGGAGGCCCAGCGGAGGGAATCGAACTCCCAATCAGACCTCAAGCCCTGAACTATCTGGCAGTCAGTTTTCTTCTGTGGCATCGAATTCCCAACCAGACCTCAAGCCCCGAACTATCTGGCAGTCAGTTTTCTTCTGTGATTAATTCTGAAGTGAATCCGGTTTGGAAGGAGTGGGGGCAGGGGTGGGAAGGATGATGGAAAACAGGTTTGAAGTGAGTGCCTTGGGTTGTATCATGTGAAGGTGCTTCAAGGAGCAGGAGGGGCGAGAAAGGAAAACAGCCACTTTGGGGTGCATGATCTCCCTTTACAAGGTTGGCAAAGGGAGCTGTTGTCTCTTAATGGCAGTGGGACAGCGATACAGCTCTTCACATCGTGTTCAGTAACCCGATTTTTGGCTACAAAAATCTTCAAGGTGGTTGATGCTAGGATTTTTTTTTATTTTTTATTTTTTACATGGAGGGGGGGGGAAAGTGCAGCAAAACAGTTTTAGGTTCTCATGAGAACCTGTCGGGAAGTAGACACATGATACAGGATCGGTGCCTACATGCTGTGAAAAGTTTGGGATGGTTTCATAAATGTTGTTATCCCATATTATGATCTAGTGGACTCTTATAGAAGTGCCATGCTCAGCTGTTGGTACACAGATGTCCAAAGCCTACCTTTTTAGTCACACCATTAGGCTTCTCGTGGTCTCTTAGTCTGTTGCAAAGACAACAGAGTCTTTTACGCCTCAAAGGCTAAGGAATTCTACTTGGCATACTGTTTCGAGGGCTGCAGCCCAATTGCAGCTGATGAGGTGGGCTGTAAAAACTACAGTAGTACTAAATAGAATCTGTTGATCTTTATGATGCCACAAGGCTCTTTATGTCTAGATGTGCTGTATCACTAAAGGAAAGGTATCAGCAACTTTGCAGTTGTATGTTTTTAAAGGGTTTAGCTTAGAAGTTCAATCCTTTGCATGTCTGCTTGGAAGTAAGTTCATTGGGGCTTATTTCCATGTACCACGTCTTAATCTGTTTAGTAGAGTTCCCCTGAAAAGCTACTTTAACAATAATGGGGACCCACCAAGAACAGTGTGGGAAGTGGCACTGATAGAGAAGAGAAATCAGAAAAATCAACTCCTGCCAGCCCCTCTTCTCCAGTGGGGAACCTCTAGTGCAGGCTTGTCCAACCTGCGGCTCCTCTTCTCCAGTAGGAAACCTCTAGTGGCTCTTGGGAGTACCCACAAATGGATTAACTCCTGTTTGCTCAGCGGCATGTCTGGATGCTAGCCATCAAATTTTCCTTGTGTGTACTTTTATTTTATAATTATTTTCTGTAATAGAGCTATATGTACACATTTTGGACAGCTATTTATAAAACATTATAATATTGTAATGTATTTTACAAATGCATTACACTACATTACAGCTGCTTGCTAGAGCAGCTTTTCAGGAGGTGCAGGGCTTTGGGATAGCATTGATGAGGGGGGGGATCTTCCCACATCCTGTAGCAGGAGTGCCCCATAAGAAGAATTCTGCTCACGCAAAGTCCGGATTCAACACGAGAAAGAGAAAAAAGCAAACAGTGCACGCTGTGAAGAATGAAAATATCTTAATCCAATGGTCAAAGTGATAAGTGTTGGTGACCCACCCATCTGGAGATGGTGTTACATATGGCTCTTGGAAGTACCCCCAAATGGATTAACTCCTGTTTGCTGAGTGGCATGTCTCGATGCTATCCATCAAATTTTCCTTGTGTGTACTTTTATTTTATAATTATTTTCTGTAAAAGAGCTATATGTACACATTTTTGACAGATATTTATAAAATGTTACAATATTATAATGTATTTTACAAATACATTGCACTACATTACAGCTGCTTGCTAGAGCAGCTTTTCAGTAGGTGCAGGGCTTTGGGATAGCATTGATGGGGGGGGAATCTTCCCACATCCTGTAGCAGGAGTGCCCCATAAGAAGAATTCTGCTCACGCAAAGTCCGGATTCAACACGAGAAAGAGAAAAAAGCAAACAGTGCACGCTGTGAAGAATGAAAATATCTTAATCCAATGGTCAAAGTGATAAGTGTTGGTGACCCACCCATCTGGAGATGGTGTTCCATAAACCTGGCGCCACTGAAAAGGACCTCTCCCTCTTAGGCACCACTATCTAATCTCACTGGGCCCTCAGAGTAGGCTTATTGCCAAGTGCCACACTAACAACAAAGTGGATTCATCTGGGTTTAATACATAAGTCAATCCTGCCCCTATAAAAACTTCTCACACACACAAAAAATGTCTCCCTGTTTGAGAAACTGTTTGCGAGACTTGGATTAAACCATGTCCAAGAAAAGATACTTGCATGTCTCTCTGGTTTCTTTAGCCACGTATTATTTCTTTTTTCATTTGTGGTACAAAGCTCTTGCAGGTTTGTACTCGAAAAGTACATATGTTAGGCGTAGATTTTGATAGCTTCTCACTCTTTCCCTTGCATTCCTAGAAAGTGACAGACTAAGAGCTTGAATGTGTTATTTTTTTTGGACTGCAGTTCCCAGAATCCCTTAGCATGACTAGGGTAAAGGATGTGCTCGGTAAAAGATTCTGGGAATACAATCCCCAAAAAGTAATCTTTTGAAGCTCTGGTTTGACTTGCATGATCTAGCAAGGGTGTTGTAATCTCTCCCATCTGCTGCTAGTTTAAAAAAAAAATGCCTGGAAACGCCTTCTACCCTTGGTTTCTCAAGAGTGGGAGCGAACGGTGCCTTGATAAGGAACGGAGGTTTACTATGGTCTTGTTGAATGTAAGGAATAGAACTCTATTTTCTCTGTAAACTTGTACTTTACAGAGCAGAAGGGTGTGAAATGTAGAACATATTTTTAAAAAATCCTTTGACATCTTTTATTTATCTCTCATAACTGCTTTTTCCTCTACCTTATAATTTGTGGTCTCTTAGGACTTGGCTCTACCTCCATAAAATTTTATAGTACAGTACTGTTAATCGTCTACTTACTTACTACAACAGCAAAGTTGGCCAGTCTCATTTGCTACAGGATAAGCCATGTGTTGAAAATGAGAATGGGGACCTGTGCTTGCATTTCATGGTGCTTTTGGCATATGGCCCCCATGGACAGAAATGGCTATCACAATTTAATGCTGTGCTACTCAATACTGAAAGTCATTTTTGTCTGCAGAGGATAAGAGTGACAACTGTGCAACTATAGACATCATCAACAAAAAGGTTGCTTTTACAGGAGTCCTGCTGCATAGGTGTGTCTGCCTTCCTATGGGAATTTCAGTTCCCTTTCATTCAAGTTAAGCCAAAATGTCAATACTGGTTCATACACCTCCTGTACACACATGTTAAGGGCCAACACCTTTCTTTCAAATTAAGTACCAGCACTCTATACTTCTAGGGCTATGGAACTGCTTCTGACAAATCCTGAATGTTGAACAGAATTGGGTTGGATCCGCCTGATTTGGATGTGGGTGGGATCAAACTAAAGGGATTTGAACCAATTTGGGAGAAAACAGAAGTTATGTACTTGTTTTATAAGCCAGACAGTATGTTTCCAGCTGCAGGATATACAGAAAACACTTACAACGGCTGTGATTTCTCATGAATGAGGCGAGCCCTCTCATTGCTTGAGCCATACTGAGGTTTCTCTTGTGCTATGAGGAGTTGTGAGCAGGAGCAAAAAATGATGGAACTCTATTATTTTTTTCTTTTTGCACTAGTTCTAGAAATAATAAATAATCATGTGCCATTGGGTCTTTCCCGATCCATGGTGTCCTTTTCTAGCTCCATACAGGGGATAAAAATAATGGACACTTCAGCCTTCAGAGTCGCCCTTGTTAAAAGTACAGGAGCCGCATTCTCTGCATCTGGTCATCAGGACCCTGCCAAAAGGCTAGGGAGCAATCTCGACAAGGAAGGAAAACGTTGTGAGCTTCAGTTGTGTTGATAACCTTAACCAAACACCACCACACAAATTATATTAGGCTGTTACCACTGCATGGTTACATTGGTTTTGTGGGAAGACAGATGGTACAGGTATTAGGACCAATGAGACAGATCTAAATGAAAATGTTTGTTGACCCTTCTGAAGGGCAGAAAATGAGTTGGGAGCCGAGCAGCAGCCTTTACAACCAGTGGTCTTTTAGCACTGATTGTGCAGGCCATCAGAGATTTAGGTATAAATTGTAATAGACCAAGCAGCACCTGGAATTTTGAATGCTGGGGTTTTTGTTTTTGTTTTGGACTACAGTTCCCATAATCCTTTAGTCGGAATTCTGTATCCATTGTCACTTGGTTTCCTCCACCACCATATACTTCTGTATAAACCTGTGGCTAAATACTACACTCCATGGCTAAA